CGCTTCTGGCCGGACTGGACACGACGGCAAGAGGAAATGAGATCGAGTTAATGCTAGGAATGCCACTATACGCGACAAGCGATAGACACCCATGGTTCGCGCAGAGTATACGCATGAATCCGCATAAATTCGCAAACTTTTATGTATGGAGAAAAGCGCAGGTAAACTAGTGAAAATGGAGTGAATCAGGGTATTTTACTAGTGCTTGTTAATCCCCAAACTACATATTCATTTTACACTAACTTTATGACTTAATGAAACACCAAAATAATAATACCCCCTACGACTTACCGTGTTTATTTTAGCCTGTTAACTCAATTGAAGCACGCTACTATGCTTTTAACAGTGTAAGAAATGAGTACTATCGTCATGTTCATGGGAATCCTTCGTCACCCCTACTCAATCTCTCCGATCCAGAGGTAAATTTTATACCCTTTTGACTTCAATAAATATGGTTTGAAGGTTGATGCTGCTGAGTGAGTACTGATAGTGAAGTTTACAGCTTCTAAGATCGAATTTGACTGTTGAAAAAATATCGTTCACTATTTGACGCAAAGGTTCAAGCGGAAATGAAGTCCATTATTGCCTTCTGGAAAGAGGAGCTTGGGATTAGTGGAGTTTTTATCATTAACTCCACCAACATTCTCAGCGAGATGGCAGCTCCACTTACCTCCATTCTGGCCTCAGGTATCGACAGTAAGTAAATTAATTTTATAAAGCAACGCTGAAGTCGCAGAGAAATTTTAGGCCTATTTATTCAATCTTAGACAACACAGATGCCTTCACTTGGTTTGCCGATGATCCCATTGCTGACAAGCTGCTCACAGGCAAACCACTCTGCTACTATGAACTGATCAGTAATGAACGCATTACGACTCGCACAGAAGATATGAATGCTCAACTTTATTCCAGTGAGTGCCCTCATTTGAGACGCTATAAATGCAAAAAATACAATCGCGCGTGATCTCTGCTAATAAAAGTGGTCTTGGTAGAAGGGCGTGACGTAGTGAGAAATCTTCACTTAACAATGTTTACTAAAATTTTTAGAAACTAAGTTATCTCACTTCTAATATTTCAGTTCTCCCTGAAATCAAGCAACGATCGTGTTCGCCAGTTTGGCGCCTTACACAACGTTCTGCTGATTTTACGGACTACTTTTCACTTCAAAAATTCGCTGCATTTCTGCCGGGACTCAGTATAATGAGAGCAGGAGAAGAAGTTCAATTAGTGAGTTGCGCGTAGCTTCAAACAATCCCGCAATTCATATTCATTTTTGGGAACAAAATCTGTTAATAACATCAGATGACAGGAGCGACGGAGCTTATCCAATGGGATTCCACGAATCCAGCGGACTTCAAGACATACTGGCCAATAAACGTGTTGCCCGACGAGACAGCGAAACAGCGATTGGAGGAGTGGGAGCGGTATGGCAAGAAAACAGTGGGAGTGGCAGGTACGATATTCAACACTGGTTGGGAAAATAGTGAAGTTCGAATCATGTCGATACCCAGGACAGAGAACCTCTTCGTGGTGCAACGGGTCTACTTGTCCAGTGCGGCCCGCTTTGCTACCTTCTTCGTTAGCTTCCAAGCACTGAATGCTTTCACTAACCTGGTTGAGGTTGTGGCCACTCCTGATGGCAGTACAGTCGTCGACCTTATCTACGAAGGGAGAGGCATATTGCATGGCAGTCAGCTGCGTCTGGGATGGATCTATCTGGTCAACAATGACGTTTTTATTACATTATCATGAACCTATTTATTATAAAAAGCTTTGTAAATACTACTCCGTTTGTGGCATAGGTGATTACTTTTTGTAACGCACTTTTAAATTTTTGGCCCATATGATTCCGGTGATTGGCAATCAAATTTCCAAAATGAAAATCCGACATTTCTTATGGGCAAATACTGAATGACACTTGTTAGAGTTGCTGTAGTGATTCGTTAATCATCCTTTTCGTGGGCCAAAAAAGGATTCTCGAAATTACACAATTTTAGTTTCAAGTATCGGGGTAAAAATTTAATACAGTATTTAAAATGTGGGTTCATATTGTATGAGTTTCCATGGTTGAGGCACCCTTAGATTTCCTCCAAGAAGCAAGCAGAAACAATGTTCCAGCCAAATGTTTATATATTGTAGTATCTCAAGGCATCCTTGGAAATAGTAAAACGTTTCGTACACTACTAGAACATTTGCGTTGAGCAAAAAGACAGGGAACAAATGTTTTAGTATGGAACTTAAGCTCACTCCAAAAACGAAATGTGGCAACTTAAGTCGTGGTAATCGGTACCAGCATTCTGTAAAACAAAGTACTACACGCAAAATCATCCCTACACATGCATAGCCTTCTACTCCTCCCTTTTGTATCGCCGCGTGCATAGAGCGTGGAAAATTTGGGAAGCTTTATTTGAATTTGCCATTACGGTGAAGGGATTGGCCGAGAAGAGGGGAGCAAATAACCCTTGCTTCCACGTCCAGCTTCAGTTTCCACTTCCATCCTCAAAAGCGCAATGACTAACTCATATGGATTACGTGGTCCAGAGGTCAGGAAAATCGATGAGCGACTAAAAACAAATCATATATTTATCCCAGTATGTAATACTTTGTTGAATTGTCACCCAATGTCCGATGGTTACCTTAAAACTCATCCAGTCCTTTACGCGTGGGCTAGCCTTCAGTCCAAGCTCAGGCTTAATCTTTTTTGCACCCCCGAAGTACATGTATTCAGCTTCACTTAACGCCTTCCTCTGCTTGCTGAAACGCTATACAGAAGTTTCTAAGCCCATATTTACCCCAAATTTACACAACACATATAGCATCTCGCCAAACTCAATTAAATTTCAATGCAATACTATAAGCAATTAGCTGTGTGACTGGCAATGACGTTAGAATTCGTCTTGCCCTTGTAAGCATTGGCTGACCTTCGGAGCAGACCAAGGCTCAACCCTTCTTGCCCACGTAAAATGCATGCATTCAGACCAAATTAATCCCGTCATCTACCTAGCGCGAAGTTATGGGATGCTACGCTTAATGCGTAGCACAATATTATCCTGCGGCACATTTAAAAAACGAAATAACAGCATATAATCATTGAATAACGGTCACAACATAAACATTCCTGAGACCTTACAACTTATTACTAAAAACATTTAAGATTTGCAGCTCTCTTACGCAAAATTTACAATGCGTAACTTGTTTTAATTTACGAGAGTCTGTACGCATTTGATAAATTCTGGGCTTGCCTCGTTTGGCGGGTCATCTGGCCCCAATTTTAGCGTATGCATAGACTTTATTTGCATAAAAGG